TTATTTGACTTATAATTTTCAAGTTTGAAATTGCAGCATATTGTGCTGTTATTTAAAATATTTCAAAAGATTGCATGGAAAATTGCATTCAATTTTCATATATATACACATACTATGTGTGTGTATACTGTGTTTATGTATTATGTATGTATGAATATAGGTGTGTGTGTGTATTAGTAGGTAGGTATTACTTTAGCTTTGGAAAGCTTTTGTCTTATTATACTTATTAAATCTTATAATTTTTTTAAATTTACATGTAATGCAGGCTTTTTTTTTTGGCATCTTAACCTCTTTCACCCAATATATTTACTTAAAGTATACCCTAAGATTGTAAAATAAATATTTTAATAATGATGTATCACATTTGCATGTTCACGGTTATGTGTATATATATATATATATGTATATATATATATACACAGGTAAATAGGTTATATTGTTAAAATAAAAATGTATTAAATTATTATCGATGCAATTTTTATACGACTTTCAAAATAGTAATTTGATTTATTTTTCAGTATAATCGTATTTTTTAATCTAAAATCTCAACCACAGAACCCGTCAGGCCAGATTCAGAATATCTTCTATTTTCCCAGCATGCCACTGTGGGGCTTGGTGAAGGGGCACACCTGCTTGCAGGCTGATAACGCCGCAGCAGTACAGTGGATAGGCCAACTTTCCCATCTTTCACTATTGATCCCCTCTCAGGAGATAATGGCTCTCAGACCTGAGTAACTGACTGATTATAGTTACTTGATTCCTTCCCTCTCTCTCACACACACACTGCCCAGTGTGTGTTTGAGAACACAATAGTGAACCCTCTCTCTGGCACTGAAGGGGGGAGTTAATGCACGTGCAGCTTAAGCTGTCGCCGCAGCGAACCAGGCTGGGCTGCAGCCGCTGGCGCAGTGCCAGCTCTGCCGTGTGCCCGCTATGTTCCCCTGCAGCCACTGCTCGGCCAAGCCCCGCCGGGCACTCTCTCATGCAGAAGAGGGCTGAGGTGGTACTGGCCGAGAGCCAGGACGTGTGCTTGCGGGATGGATGCCATGGGTGCAGCGCTACAGGCTGGCAGCAATGGGGAGCATGACGGTATTCAGAGTGGGTGAATGTGCTTTTTGTCTCTGCACGCAGTGCCAGACAGCCTCTAATGAGACGCGTCTTTGTGGCAGGCCTCTCAACATCAAGTGGGCTGGTGGGCTCATTAACCTGACGATGGCAAATAAAAAGCCCCACACAAGAGACGCCATGAAGTTCCGATTTATGAGATATAAAGTAAAAGTTATAAAAAGTTGTAATTATGAGATACTAAGTCATAATATGTGATCAAGTTAAATATGTGATAAGTTGATGCATACTAAGTTGTCTTCATGAGATAAAGTCAAAATCAACATAAAAGGCTGAAATTTAGATATTAATGACAAAAAATTCACTTTTCCTGTCATAATGACTTTTTATATGTTAATTTCAACTTTTTATTTTATAATTATGACTGTGTAATCATTTAGATTTTTTTTATCTCATGATTATGATTTTTTATGTGTTAATAACCAAAGTGGGGTTTTTTTCTTATGTGCTGGAAGTAGAGTTCCATAATATGAAGATGAATAAATGATGCCAGAATTTTCTTTTTTTTGCCATCATTGCCAGAATTGTCCCTTTAAGGCTATAGATACATACAGTAAAGAGCCATTCACAGGGTTGTGCTGTTTTAAAGCATGCGGTGCAACCAATTGCTGTTTTTATATTCTCTGAAGCATTTGATTGGGTGGCCCGTATGTGTTTGCATTAATTAGATATTCACCATTTACCATTTTTTTTTAAATATTTCTCTTCCTTTTATGATTTTTAATGTGATTTACATTGTAAATTATTTTCCACTGCTTCGCTACACAGAAACATGTTGTCTTTTTCAGGCTGCGCTATCTAATTCTGGGATGTGGGAGCTCATGCTAAGGATTAGCGTTAGTCAGGGTCGTCCTGCAGAGAAAAAACTGAACATTGGTATAAATATCAAAGGGATGACTGTGTGCGACACTGACAAATTGCAGTTGAGGCACCATTAATTAAACGGGATCAGTAATGTGTGTTTAAATGAATTTACTGTTGCATTATTGATTCGCTCACCGCACAAATTATCTTTCGAGGTGCATATGGAGTTTGCGGGTCCGGCTCCCCGTGAAGGATTTGTCAGGGTGAGGTCTGTGGACGTGATCTAGGCCTAAGGATGTACCCATCCCCATTTATCTGCCGAGGAAAGCCTGGGGGGATAGAGGGGGGTGGCGGAGCTTGCCGGCTTTGTTTGCATTCAAACTGCAGATAACAAGGAAGCCCGAGCGGCGGCTCAGAGAAATCACTGGCGCTGCCCGTGCTGCCAGACTGAACGGTGAATTCGAGAGGTGTGCTTGCGTACTTCACACATGGTTGATTGTATAGCGCACGTGCTTTGTTCTTTTCTCTCATTTTTCCTCCGTTTTTTCGGAGGGAAAGTGCTGACAGCATGCTGAAGCTTCCTCTATCGGTGCTTATTTTGCCTACAAACCATTTGGGCGCAAGATAATGTCTGTCTTTACTTTGTCGGCATGCGGAAAATAGATTTTTGGAGGGGGTGGAATTGAAATGATTGCTTTTCTTTCCTCTTTCTAATGTTATAAATGAATGCAAATTCTAAATTTAATCAGCCCATAAAAGCACAAACTAACAAAGTCCCCCGCAGCTCTAACACAGATCTGAATTATATTCGATTACATCTATACAGGCTCTGCAATGCATTAAACTCCAACTAGGCCTGTGACATTTTCTTTGCATTGTCCCCGGGGGCGAGATCGAGTCTGTCCATGCATCCCAGCATGCCCCAGGGCCCTGGCTGAGCGAGGGAGAAAACGCGTTAACACGCAGCAATTTGTCAGGACAGCAGTCCTCTCTGAATTGCAGTTCATTGACAGGTACACAATGCACCAAAGGCAAGCGCTCTGACTCGATAAAAGTGAATGATGCCCTCTCCTAGATGTTCGCTCTTTCTAATTTCCTGTAATGGACTTTTGTATGCTTTGAAATTTGATTTAAGTTGAAGCGATCGGTTTTAGGAGTCTGTTAACCGGTTTGCTTTTGCTCTAATTGTTTCAGAGTAATTCAAAGGTGGTGTGGAAAATGCTGCTGCCTCTCAGCTGTGTGTTTATAATCAGAGACACAGAGTATATATATCAACCGTTTGACAACTTTACCGCCTACTTTAAGTAGCACTTCATTCATCTTCTCTTCTTATATTTCTGATTCACATGTGGTCATTTTTATCTGAATAAAAGTGTAACGTCATCACTTGTGGGTAAGTTTACAGGTATACAGGGGAATATTGGCATTTCTTTGTCTGCAGCAGTTCGTCAGTATTGTATGCACAACAATATAAATAATTCTTATATGTACAATTATAATTATGTATATAAATAAATCTTATATGTACAACATTTGTATTGGCATTTTGTTTGGGTACATGATTGGTGTCCTTAACTAACCACAGAAATAACTTCCATGATATAGTTTCGACAGCTACTATACACTGATTATAATCAAACTAAAAAATAAATAAATAACATTTAATTTAGTGAGGCTTGTGCTTATAACAAGTGAAACATCTGCCAATGAATCATGACAAAATACAATTTTTTTCTAAATTTATTCTCTTTAAACAAATTTGTTTTGTCTTAATTTTGCTTGAAAGTAAATATACTGTATCTTTATTTGAGGATGTTTTGATGCTTTTATTGGAGAGTAAGAAAAAGTCACTTATGCAATGTATTGAATGTATTTTTTTTCTGTCTTGTTTTCCAGAAAAAAATATCTAAACATCTTTAAAAGGAGATAAATTGAAGGCAACATATATATATTAATATCTCTGTTTGGCTAAATGCGTTCAGCCTAAACTGCACCGAATCTTCAGTTAATCTCTCCTTGACTGTGTGTTTATATGCTCACCTAAAGTAGAAGATGATTTGAAATAGAAGAGATCTAAAGTAATTAACGAATAAATTTAAGGTGAACAATAGTGTGTACAAATACTGATACATACCTTTGTAAAGGTATGTAAAAAATACGCAGTGCTCATGCATGTGCGCCTGCATGCTTTCATGAGTGTGTGTGTTTGTGTGCTCACTGGCTCTCACAGACAGTTAATAATGTTGCATATTAATCAGGGCCCAGGCGCCCTATGGCGGATCAAAGCCTTCAGGTTGAGATTTTCTGCCATTAATTTTCTGAGGATGTGGAAGAGGCATTTAACCTAGCTGGGGCTGCCAAATAGAGAGCAAATCGTTCAATGTCCTTCCCTTTACATTCTACTAAAAACCTTAAATGCGGCTTAAAGGGATAGTTCTCCCAAAAATAAAATAAAAAATTAATTATCCTTGTCCTTCCAAACCAGTATGACCTTCCTTTGTGGAACACAAAACAAGGTGTTTAGCAGAATGTCTGAGCTGCTCCATACAATGAAAGTAAATGGGGACCAGGTGCATTAAGGACAAAATAGCTTCATAAAAGCATCATTAATGTGTTCCATATCACCCAAATGCACGTCTTCTCATTTATGTATTTATTTTTTTATTATTATTATTTATCTCTCAAACTAGACAAGCGATTTTTGGTCTGTTTTTTGTATCTTGTACTCTGCCAAAATAATTTAAAAAATGCCTTTAAATTCCTTTTTATATTATTTAATTCATTCATTCATTCATTTACTTACTTACTTACTTACTGACTTAAATGAGGCAAGACATTTTTGGTTTGTTTGTTGTACCTTGTTGAAGTGAAGCTCTGCCAAAATAATAATAATAAAAAATGCCTTTTAAAATGTGGTTTTCTTAAGGTGCAGCTAATTTTTAAGCATCTAAATTTGTGTTAACCATATCATATTAATATTTGTGCATTCTTTAGTTACCAAAAAAATACAATTTTAAATCGCTAAACATTCATTAAGCTCTTGTTTCTTTTTGTGTTCTTATATCGTCCAGGTCCAGATTAAGCATGACCAGGTGCAGAGGAAAGTCTTCTTGCTTCCTCTCAGCTGATTAGTGGAGCCGGTTGATTGGTGCAAATGAGGAAGCTTTTATCCTGCTCGAGTATAATCTGCTTGCATCTTTATTGGCTAAAAGCAGGCGTGATGCTGGCATGACCCAGGCTGGCCCAGGTACTGTCCTCAGAAAGGGTACTGACACTAATGTCTTCTGACACACACATCCCCCATGCCCTTCCTGTTAAAGGTACACACACAGATACGCTGCGGGAAAAAATCTCCAAAGCTTATGCATGCACTTTTCAATTACACTACTTTTGTGAAAAATATTTTTTATAATATACACCATATTAAAATGCACATTCTCAGTGAAGACGAGCGGGAACGATCAGCGCTTTGTAGCTGTCGGCTTTGGTGTAATGGCTGCCTGTTTCCTTCTCATCTTCTTTTGTCCTTAAAGGACGCTGCCTTGCCTAGCTGCACAGATCCTTGGAGCATCTTTCCTATCTGTCTGTCCCTCTCTGTGCTGCAACACAGCCTGTTATTTCAAGGAAAGTGCAACCTTTGCCTTGGGCTTTAATTATGTTCAGTTTGCCAAGCCGAGCCTGAAAAATTCAGAGGGTAAAAAAGCTCTATGACCTATTTATTAATGCTGCGTTGGGTCTAAAGCTACACTGAGATCAGCACTGCATCACTCAACAATAACATCCATCTCTGGAGAACAGACTTCAATCACGTTGTACTCCTCTCTAACAGCTGGAATTCATTACTTTATAATAGATCACGGACCAGTTAATCATTATTAAAAGAAATGTAAAAGTTTGTAGTTAAGTGGGATTTGTAATTGGTGTATATTGCTGGAACTGTACATGAAATTGGAAAAATGGAAATTATATATATATTATTCAGTATGTTATGTAAGAATAAATAATACTAATAAATAACAAAGTGTATATTTCTAAAATATATCTAAATTATTTATTATGTGTTATTTTATAACAATATCAAACAAAGTTTTCTTTTCTCGAATGAGGTAAGTGATTTTTCTCTGTTTTTTTTGTACCTTGTACTGTTTGGTTGAGCTCTGCTGTAAAGCGGTGGAAGAGAGAATTCTTTGTGTCGATACAGAAGGAAAAGCATGAATGATTTATGGGTCAATATGAAGGTTTCCCCAGCAGTGCAGTCACTGCTTCAGCCCAACAGCAGGCAGAGACCCCTTCCACTCCCTGAAACGCTCCCTTCTGCAGTCATGCAAATGAGAACATTCTCCAGCCAAGGTATTTGACAGTTAGTTTTATTTTTAGAGCTTGTCCGATTTATCAATTAAGGCATGCAGTTGTTATAGTCAAAGAGAATGAAAGAGAGAGAGAGAAAGAATGTGGCATTAATGTCACACCCATTTTTATAAAAATTGAGAAATATTGATCTAGATTTATCTAAAGAGGGCATTATTATTATAGAATCTGTTGAAATATTGTTAAAAAATGGTTGGCCTGTATGCTCTGTGCCAGTCACTCAAATATTAAGTGTGCAGTGGTAGTCTGACATGTATACAGTACATGAGTGTGGCATTCATCATTTATGCGTGTGTGTGTGTGTGTGTGTGTGTGTGTGTGTGTGAAAGTCCACTGTCATTTCACCTTCCTCTCTTCTCTATTGTACACACCTCGACATCTTCACAAAAAGATGCCATATTCAGTTATGTGAAAATCATGAATTACACAACCACTTAAATATTTAAATGCAGAAAAGATGCTTTTGTTTTTACAGTCACTGTTCATCCACAATGCATTTGTTCCCATACAAAAAGTATCACTGAAATTTACTGTTGGCAGGTTAGGGTGAAATTTTGCATAGTTATAATAGATGGAAAGCAAAATATCCTCTGTGTTACCCTGAAGCTCAGCGCAGAAATAGAATCCAGGCTGCAGTTTCACCCGCTCCCTTACTGAAAGCACAGAGGATTTCAAGAGCTTACATTATTTGATGCCAATAATGAATGATTTATTTGTGAATGTTTCTAACAGCAATTATCTTTGATATCTATTGGTGTTCAAATTAGTGTGTAACTCTCAGAATGACCCTGATACGACATAAATGGGGGAAAAAGGAGCGTTCCATCTCTCTAGCCTTAATCACTCTTAATTATCATAGTTATTTTCAGCTAGGTTATTTTCATATAACCATATCATATATTTTCATATATTCTTAATTCTGAGAAGAAGAAACTCTATAAATCAAATGATTGCTTTTGTAAGAAATTGTTTCTATTATAAACAGACACTGAAATGTCATCTCAACTTTCTCTATACGGGTGATACACTACCATTTAAACGTTTTTTGTTTTTTTAAGAAATTAATACTTTTTTTTAGCAAGGATTAATTAAATTGATCAAAAGTGACAGTAAAAACATTTATTATGTTACAAAAGATTTCTATTTCAAATAAATGCTGTTCTTTTGAACTTTCTAATTATCATAGAATCCTTAAAAGAGAAGTATTACATTTTCACAAAAATATTAAGCAGCACAGCTGTTTTCAACATCAATAATAAGAAATATTTCAGAATATTAGAATAATTTCTGAAGGATCATGTGACACTGAAGACTGCTGAAAATTCAACTTTGCCATCACAGAAATAAATGAGATTTTAAAAATTATTAAAATAAAAAACAGTTATTTTAAATAATATTTCACAATATAAAGTTTTTACTGTATTTTTGATTAAACAAAAAAAGAAACATTTTTTACAAGTGTCTTTTAAAACAATCTTTCCAGACCCCCAAACCTTTTAAATGGTAATGGTTATTCCCATTTCTACAGATATTTGGATCATATAAAGACCATTGCAAAATTACCCTCCCTAGATTTGGAGTTGCGAAAAATAAGATCAGCTTTCATAGATGCAAACAAACAAATGCTAATATCCCCCAATTATTTGTGACAATAAAGACTTCTTGCATATTCATATTTGGTCTGAGACTGCTGCAACTATTAACAATTTGCATATGCATACAGTTATATAAATTGTAATGGGTCATTGTAGATGAAGCTCTGTTAGAAGTTTCTATAATATAATAAATGCATCCCTCATCTATTGTTTCCTCCCATAAGAGTTAGGCAAGACTAGTCATCCTGTTCGCCACAAGGAGATGTATGACCTCCAAAGCCCAGGTGGAGGTACGGATCATTTTGACAAGATATGAAATATTGATGGTGTTCAGTTTTCATCCATATTAATATGTTGACACCCTCCAATGGCTTCATTTATGGTTATTTGTTTACTTTCATTTGGAGGATAGAGAAATGGAGCAATGCTATATTTAAGGCTCATTACACTAGCTCCATCTCACAAGAGCTGCACCTACGATTCCAGTTAATTGGTCTGTATTGATCTCCCTGATGACGATGTATTTGATTGTGTTGTGACAGAAAATGTCACAGCGCTATAATCTTTGTTGGTGGTGGCAAAGAGCTTTCCAAATAGACTCACGACACATTTAAGGCCTATGGTGTCACAATATAAAGACCAAGTGCATCACTAATGCAGTTTGACTAGCCCGTGCAATTGTGTGGAAGAAGGTAGCGCATTTTCATGGGAGGAGAGAAGCTTTTAAACTGTCACCTCAACTGTCTCCCCTCCAGAGAGGAAACCTTTTAACGGGGAATGTCCTCTTGTTGGCCTAAGTTCTTAAATGGTGGAAAAACAATGCCTTCCCCCCATAATAGGGTGATGGTCTTTGGTTTAATAAGCATTTGTCTAATTCTCTTAAGGAAAGATAGTAGACTGGAAGTAAGTGATGGTAAAAATGTGGTGAGTTTCTGTATCTCAGCTTGTTCTGAGAGTATTGTAGAGATATTATTTTCGAAAAACAAGAAAATGTCATTTACTCACCTTGATGTCATTCCAAACATGCATTTTCTTTTTTCCTCATTTGTTATGACTGTTTTCCGTGCTCTTTTTCCGAGCGATTACTATGAACAAGGAGCTATTCAAAGCTTTCAAGCTTCAAAAAGAATGCTAAAGGTAAAGTCATCATGAAAGTGGTCTATATGACTTGCACAATATATTTTAAGACTTAAAATAGCTTTGTTTGAGACTAGTGATGTGTAATTTACCAATGAATCATTATTTGGAGTTGGTTTCAATGAATCAACATGATTCTGATTGATTCATTCGTGTATTAGACTGATCGATTCAATGACTTGAATTTAAGCGTGAATATCCAGATTTATGTAACACTATTAATGTGTAATGTGTCAATTTAATTTTAATTGAATCAATTGAACCAGTACACAGATCTGTTTGATTCAATCATGAATTAGACTCATTTAGTAACAGTTCTTGAGTTCACAGTCATGAGTCAAAAGGATTGCTTTGGTGTCCTTTTTCAAGCTTCAGTCTCCGTTTATTTTAATTGCATGGAAAAGACTGTTCAATATATTTATCAGAACTTCTCTTTTTGTGTTCCACAGAAGAAAGAAACAGAAAAAGTGAGTAAATGATGAAAGAGTTATCATTTTGGGTGAATGATTCCTTTAAGCCTGAGGGAGATGAGATGTCAGCCATGATTCAGAGTGGCTCCTTTTATCATTTTGTTTATTTCCACTTCTTGTTTCTTGATCTCACTGGAGAATCACTGGAAAATATACAAGTGAAGTCATTCATTTTGATTTTTTTCCCCATACTTAGTGCTGTATCATGAAAATAGTTGTTTTTTGTGTAATTGTGAAAAGAAATACAAGTAAATAAATTAGCAAAATGCTCAAAGTTCAAGTTTGTTTATTTAAAAAAATGAAAATATTATTAGCCATGACAAAGTTGATGCGCCTACGTCTCGAGCTTCATGCATGAATAATGTACAGGAAGCCTTGGGCTATAGATTGAGTGTGAATATTCATTAATTTGTTTGCCCTTTGGGAGGTAATGCATATTCAAACAAAGGCGTGCTCAAGTCCCTGTTTGCCAACTTGTCTGTCCACAGTCTGTGTGAGTAAATGACGGAATAAGTGCAGATAGTTCTCTTCAGAGGGGCTCGAGTGACTCTGTCTGTCCCTCTTAACAACTTTACAAGGACATCACGTCAACTTTGCTAGTGGGTAAATAGTTTAAACTCGGATTACTTATTTCACAGAAGGAACCCAGCTAGCTCTTTAAGTGCTAAGTCACAGCAGCGCTGGAAATCCTATTACCTGACAGGACAGAATCAGCTCTGATTGCACTGATAGGATGCAGCAGACCTGTGCCGCCCAGGTCAAGATTAATAAGCCTCAGAATAGCCAATTGGATTCAAACATGGACTGTACCAAACAAACACATTCAGTCTAACTACACTGTGTATTCTGGACAAAAGCAATGTCCTTTCCAGTTGTAAACCATTCCGTAACACTTCTCAAGAGAGTGGGTATGTTACACTAGTAGGCCACACTGATGCCAAAAATTGATGGAGACATCAGGACCTGAATCAAGGGTTCAAGTTTTGGCTGGTTAACATAACGCTGTTAGCCCCTGCTGGTAGATGTTGTAACTACACCATCTGGACCCAAAAAACACCCTTTTTTCATTGATGCCATTGAAAAACAGTAGTCATGTATTCTGACCGAATTATATATTTAGCTTTTATGTAGCTTGCAAATAATGTATTAGATTGAAGTTTATGCTTCGCTTGGGCTTATTTTTTTATTTTTTTATTTTTGTTTGTTTGTTTGTAAATACATTTAGCGTCAATATTTTTATTTAGCTATTTAATTTAATAACAATAATTTGTTTAATAAGAATTCAC